CTCTCTAAAAAGCAATAAAAACATACTTTAAAAAAAGAACTATGGCGGAGCAGCAAAACTGAGGACCTGAGTTCTAGGTCTGTGACTTATCTGAAACCAGGGGTGGTAACCATGGGTAAACCACACTCTCTCTCAGCCATAATTTACTCTTCTATTAAATGAGGTTGATAACATCGACCCACCCCTTGAGGGCTGCTGGGCACCCCGCCAGGAACAGACATATGAAGGTGCTTTGTGAATGAAGTATGCCATGAGCTCATGGGTAAGACAGGCCCTGGCGTACTGGCTAAGGTGGCAGCAGGGGCTTCTTGGGCCCGGGATCCTGCCTGCATGTGCCCCTAACACAGACCATACCACATGCTCTGCCCACCTTGGCCTTTGACGGAGGGCAGATGGGGAGCTGGAACACATGAGACAAGTGGTCCCCAATGCTCTTGTGCAGTGCAACACATAGCAAAATGCTGCTTGTCCTAACCAATGGGGAACCAACTTAGGAGCTGAAGCTCCAGGTGGTGGCTGTCTGGATTTAAATGAAGACCAGCCCAGCTGGTGTGCTCAGTGGTTGAGAGTAAATCCAGGAACCAAGAGGTCATGGTTTGATTCCTGGTCAGGGCACATGCCCGGGCTGAGGGCTCGATTCCCAGTAGGGGGCGTGCAGGAGGCAGCCAATCAATGACCCTCTCTCATCACTAATGTTTCTATCTCTCTCCCTCTCCCTTTCTCTCTAAAAATCAATAAAAACATTTTTTTAAAAATAATAAAATAAATGAAGGCCAGACTAAGACTTTTTATTGTTCTACAGAGCAAGGTGGGGAAAGGACAAGAAGGGAGGAAGAAGCATTCAGTGGGTCCCTTCCCCTGGGGTGGTCACTGAATCTGTCCTCCCACTCTTTCCTCCAGCCCCTTCTTGGAGCCTTTCGCCCAGCAAGAGATAGGTGAGGTGGGTGGAGTACACAAGGCTGGGTTGTGAGCAGCCTGAAGTCTAGTCCTCATATTTAACCAGTCTCAGGGCTCAGTAAACACCGTGTCTGCGCATTTCACTAACCTGCACCATCAACATTGACTTTGCACATGTATCACCAAACATACTATACAAAATGCTGAAATACAAGATTTCATTGCATGGACACCAAAGCTCTGCGGACTTCACTGCCTACCGGTATACTTTACACACCATGAACTTGATTAATATGAACATCAAGATGCAGGTTACCTCTGAACCAGAGGAGAAAAGATTACAATCAGAAGGGCCTCTCAGGGCTTCTAAGAACCTAGCAAAACCCTATGTTTAAAACAGGATGGTGGGCACAAGAGAATCTGTCCTATGTTCAGCCTTTAGATTTTCCATAGAATTATATACACCCCTTACAGATACACCTTTAAATACCATTGTTCAAAATAAAATTAATGAAATGCTATTTTTCTTAATTTCTAAAAATCATAACTACCATTTAAGTGGTTACCGTCTGCCACAAACTTTTTAAAATATTTTACATATGTTATCACCGTTACTCCTCAAAACAACTCTTGGTGTGAAAACCACTGGCATTCTTTTCACAGATGGGGACACTGAGGCACTGAACAGGTCCTTGTCAATAGTCACAAGTTCAGCAGTGAAGCCATATTCAAACTCCTTCCTCTCAACCCCTTCCAGTTAGTACCAGTTAGCAGAGGGTATGCATGATGCTCATACTCCGTGTCAGCCAGGGACCAAGGAAAGGGGCCCTAAACTGGCAGGGCCATCCTGGGAAGCATTTAGGAATCCCCACCATAACATACCTTAGGCTCTTGCTCTTCTGACCTGGCACATTTCTCTACACAGAACCTAGCTGAAACAGTCAGAAATTTAGACTAAGGCATATTAAGAAAACATTTGTTAAGGAATGACTCCTAACAACTGGAAATGGCGTACGTAAATGTCCACCAGTAGAACAATGGCAACTCTGGTTCACCCAGAGAGAGGCGTACCAGGCAGTGTGCAAAAATGTGAAGTGAAGCCTGGCCAGGAATGGCTCAGCCGTTGAGCATAGACCTAGAATCCATGAGATCGAGGTTCGATTCCTGGTCAGGGCACATGCCTGAGTTGCAGGCTCAATCCCCAGTAGGGGGCGTGCAGGAAGCAGCCGACCAATGACTCCTCTCTCATCACTGATGTTTCTCTCTCTCCTTCTCCCTTCCTCTCTCTGAAATCAATAAAGATATATATA